CGTTACGTTTTTTTTCTGACTAAGTTGTTTTGTTGTCTCTCCAAATTTAAATGTTGTCAAATATATCTTTATCTGTCATATCACTACAAAAATAAGAACGCATTTTGTAAGCCTGTGGCAAAACCAGGACTGTATTTATTGTCTTTCATATAGGAATATGCTAATAGTTAATCCAGAGTAATCATGTTATGTATCTGTTACAGTGCCTACTCCTAAGAAAACAGAAGCCTGGAAGGGACTATTTTACATATTCAAGAGACTAATGCTTGACAAATCACTCTACTCAGAGATTTAGCCCTTGTGAGAGGAAAGGCTGAAGACTGAATATCATGTGAACTGTCTTCTGTGTGGCACCATGTGTTAAGCAGCTCTGAGAAGCTGTAGAGACGTCCTGCTGGGGAGCTTTCCTGTGGGCAGGAGTGTCTTGAGTTTTGAGATGCTATTATTTTACTTGGTGTTTCTATGGTACTTTCTTATCCTCTACTAGAGTTGTGTTGTTATAGGTACCATTTCATCCAGCAAGGTCAAAAGGCCCCGGACTAAATTGATCACTTATCAGTGGATCTTTAGAAATGGAAGTGAGTGAAAGCCATTTGTTATGGGAAATCCATCTTTAATGGGATTTATGCATCTGCTCTTCCTTTGAGGACTAACAGTCATTTTCTTGTCAAGCCAGAAGCCTTTTAAAAAGTCAGTCTGGACTCAGTCACTGTGCAGCTTTAAAGACATTTGATCACAGTCATTTGTATAAAAGGTAATTTATGGGATAGACTTTAACAGTGACTGTTTCCAACCCCTTCAAGGGCAAACAGGTCGTAGCTCTTGGTAGAGAGAACACATACAGACACTCACTTCTTAGATCTCTCTCTGTATTTCACTCACTTGCCTTGAGGGATGAAAGCTTTCAAAGGTTCATGTGCTTCCCCTCCTCAGATGGGGCCCCCATCGTTCCTCTGGAATAACCAAAGCCGACGAGCCATGACACTCTGGAGACGGCACAAAGGCATTCTGCTCTATCTAGCTACTCTATAAAACATAGTTCCTAGATAAAGGTATCCGATCAGGCAATCATATGATTCACACAGGCTGTGTACCGACTGGTTGAGCTATGGTTCTCTCTTGCCAATAAATCTACGAGAAGATTTATATGACTCAAGTTTGGCTGCTAAATATAAAGCTATGGATAGCTGGAATCAGCTAGCCTGGCTCAACCAAATGCAAAAATAATCGACTTACCACCAAATCGGTACAAAAACCAAAGACGGCAAAGCCAGGCTAACTTTGAACTGTTTCCAATCATTGTGCTAAGCTAACAGGCTGTGGGCTCCAGCTATGAAATTAACTTAGATACATTACAGATCATTACAGTTCCTCAAAGCCCTGACTTTATGCTGGCTTCAAATGAAAATGTATATACTGTGTGCCCCCCTCTTGATGTAAGAGCCCCAAGTTCAAGAGTTGTGGCGCGTTTGCTAATGTTTTGCTAACAAAAGAAAGAAAGAGGTAGGCCATAGCACATTTTCTGTTAAAGAGTTTTTCTTTAACATATTATAATAAGACAGAGGAAAATGTCTATATTTCCAACATAATTTTTTTTTTTCTCTATCATTTTGCTTTCCTGCATTACGATAACCACTGGCTACATTGCTAAATTGTTAACTTTGTTGGTTTCTTTACGACAACATTAACATTAATATTGCCAATGTTTAGCAGTGTTGTTCTCACAACTAAATCACATCCTATAAACAACTACACATGCTGTAACCACAAGTTTGACTTGAAGGCAGCTAAAGTAGTTTCTGTTGGCTTGGTAAAAAACAGTTATAAACTGTGTGTGTAATGTCCTGTGATGCTGTTAAGGTGATGAGTGACTATTGTGATGATTTCAATGCATCGTCTTCTGCTGTCAAATTGTCTTCAATCAGCCACTATATCCTTTTTCTGAATATTCCCTTTGTACATCACCCAGCTCGACAGGTTCACTGACACATTATGAGATGGATGAGACCCAAGCTGTTCCCAGGTTGTATTGTTCCCCAGCCTGCCGCCACCTCTTCTAAAGTGCCTTCAAGCCTAATTCCTCTTCCAGGCCTGTGGGGAGGGGGGGATGGGACCTGCGCCCCCAGTCCAATCAGCCTCTCAGCAAGCACACAAAGGTCCTGCTGCTTCTACAACTGGAAACTTGGCTTGATGGTGAGGAGGGCACACTGCTGGACTGGAGTCAATTGCATTTCATTTCAATCAGGAGATTCAGCTGGGTATCTTTTTCTGCCCAGATGATGAACAAGGTTACCTTTTTTTTATGTCTATTTTAATTTTAAAACCTTGGCTAACTGGATGAAAATGTTGGCTAGAGACAGGGATTTCAGCTGAAGCTCTTACTGGTTCTCAATATTAGATGACGCCCTGCTTTTTAGGCCTACATTCCTTCATCCGTTCTGATTTGTCTCTCCACCAGCATCATTAACAGCAGGCTGGATGGTTAGTGAAGCAGCAGAAAAAGCCTCAGGCACACTGATCCAACATAGAAACACCACTGATAGATGGTTGGATTTAAAGCAAACGTTACATACTTTGGAAAACTCTCCTATTCACGTTCTGGTGGAAAGTTAGAGGGGAAGATTGACACCAATTACATTGAAAATCAAGCTATAGCTAGCGGACGGTTATCTTATCTTAGCATAATGAGAACAAAAAATAAAAAAACAAAACGGGTACAATTCCAGCCCGGCTCTATTCAAAGGTAAAACAATTCTGCTACCAGCAGCAAATTAACATGCTTTCTCTGTTTACACATTTCCAGTTCTATGCTAAGCTGCAACTCCCTGAAGCTCAGACAACATGGCTTTTTTCACATTTAAATAGGTCACCTACAACATTTCTTCCACACAAGTACAACACATGAAAAACCAACAGCACATGATCTTATGGTTTATCTAAAGAGGCTTAGTAAAAACTGCATGTGCCTAATTGTTCAGCATGACAGCACAGAGCCCTTGTTTATGTGAACTTGGGATGTCTGTTCTCGTCCACGGGAAGTGCCCCTGATCAGGGAGACAGAAGAGAGGCCACCCACAGGGCCAGGAGCTGTCATCACTGAATCACTGGGGGATGAATTTAGTAAATTCTTAAGAAGAAAAATCCCACCTTCTATGGAGAAACGTACAAAAGAGACCTCTTACATACTCTGGGAGGGAGATTACTGGGAGGGATGGTGCAATTATGCGTTCTCATGCTGAATGGAGTGGAGCACAGAGTTGTAGCTAATCTGCAACTCAAACAAGAGTAAATCTAATCAACGGCAAATTACAATGCCAGGCACAGGAAAAACATAACAACTTGGGATGGGTTTGTGTTTGTGCTGGTGATTCATGCTATGCTTTTCAAACCACAGTGAAATACGCCTTCAGGCTAGAAACAGCTTAGTCAAAGGAGCCCCTCAACGCATTTGAAAGGAAATAAACACGCAGCAATGCAAGGACAGGTAACATGTTGAAATACAGAAATACATTACACTGGAAGACTATCAATCCGAGCCTGTCACAACAGCACTCGAACCAGAGGGACATCATTCATGATAACTGTGTCAGAAATCTGTGTTTACTTGAAAATGAAGCATAAAAGAGCTTTAAGAAATCTAAATGAATTGTTTCAGAGCTTGTAGTTGGTGCATGTTCAAGAAGAGAATGGGGTTTACTAAAAACTTGGCATCTTTGCTAGCATGATTAACTAGTCCACCATGAATCCTGACAGTTTTAAAAAGCCGATGCCGAATGAGTCATACCAACTATTTTTATATTGTTATGTTAATAATTCATCCAAGACCTGAGTTTAATTCTGTAAAAGCCTCATTCTGTTGGTCTCAAGTCTCAACAGAGAGTGGGGGAACGCTTTTACAATAAGAGTCAACAATGCGGAAAATCTGAGGTAATCCTCAAGGATTTCTTATTTTAATACTGTAACTTAACTTGATACAACACTTGTGATGTACAATCATGTGAAGCATCTTTGTGACTAACAAACAAGAGTGGGAGTAATGGCTGAGGGGGTCTTAAATTGCCACTATTAATATCTATGGAGATATTAAAACTTGTATCACCCAAAACATAGTGACAAGTAAGGTTCATTTATCAAAATTAATTTTAACTTTTAAAATGACGTTTAATTTTTTTAATCCATTTAAAGTTGTGAAGTGAGGATTCATTTTTAAAATCCATTAAAAGTTATAGTCTTTTGAGATTTTCAACGTAGTTAACACACATTTTGATACTTCTAATGGTTTCATTTTGTCTGGTTCCAAAGAACCCACATATTTCCCTCAGCATGACGCTACAAGTAGATAAATGCTATTCATGAAGTCCAGTTTGAATAATATGTCAACAAATCTAAGATTGCTAATTCCCTTAACGCAGGATTTTACAACAGAAAATGTATAATCGCAACAACTATTTTGTCCCCCTGCTCAATGCTTGCAATGTTATTAATGTAATGAGCACAATACTAACATTTACACACTAAAAGATATTGAAAGTGCATATGCATGTATTTTATTGGTCTTAACAATGTGTTGCTGCGTGATGTTGGGTTCCGATGATGAACCAGTAAGAAGACTTTTGCTTGACGACCCTACATTGTTTTAGCAGGATTTGTCTGCGTCATGCCCCCCTGCAGTGCCAATAAAATGTTCCCATTGAAATGAATGAGGAGGCTGTGTTGTTTAACACCACTCTATTGTCGGTCTAAATGTGGCCTAAGGTGTGAGAAGGGTAACGACAGGCCTGTGACAGGGACAGCATTTCTCTTGTGCTTTTTTGGTTCTTGACTAAAAATAAAATGTATCATGATGAACGATTTACAACAAAATAAAGAAATATCTAGTTTGTCATTTGAGCCTAGAGATACCAGTAGATGTTGGCAGAACATTTTCGTAAAACATGCCATCTATGTCTCAGCTGTTTTTTGGCAAACAATATTTTAATTGGAATAAGAGAAGCACCAAATGAAACCAAAGGATTTTTCTATTTTATTTCTGCAGAAAATGAAACAGAGATAAAGAAGATAGTAGAAATGTTTCCCAATTATTACATGTCTATGTTCTGCATACGTTTAAGCAATATGCCTTATGTAAATGTCAAATGCCATTGATTAACAACAGGTGTAGAGCTGATAATAATAATAATATGTCAGCATTGATAACTCTGATAAATGTCAGGACAACCTAGTGGGGAATGGAGCCATTCTTGGAAAACATCTATGCCACGTTCCTGTGAGATCAGACTGTTTTTCCTCCTCTGCCTCTCCTCGGACGTCAGTCTGCGGCCGATGGGACCAGCCCCTTCTTGGCACCCTGGTGGTACTGGGTCTCCAGCTTCCCTGTGAGGGAAAGGGGGTGAAAGGGAAGTGTGGGAGGGGAGAAAAGAGGAAAGGATGAATCAAAACCCCATCAAAGGGACAGTGACCTTTCTGAGAGCTCAAGGCCAGCTGATTAGAGGCGGCCTCGGATAGACAGAGGAGAGAGAGGCTATGATGAGGTAGTAAAAGGCGTATCTGACCTTTTACTCCACTTCTAAAAGCAATTAGAACATAACTTTTGTTAGCAGTGAAATAAGGTGCCTTTATTCATTTATATACTGTAGATGTACTGTAATATATACTGTTAGTGAGGAAAAAGAGAATACTCAGCTACAAAGAAGGTTTTTAAGTCTTCTACAATCAACAAAAATACATTATATAAACAGAATTAACTATTTAAACAGTCACATATTCCATATTTAAAAATATCAATACGCAGAATTTCAAAGTAAGAACTTTGAAGTCACTGAGGGAAATATTGTCCCTACCTATTTTTGCTGTTGATTGTTTGATGGAGCTTTTACTGCTGATCACTTGTGCTATCTGGTATCTTAGGCCCCGGCCACACGAGGACGATAACGGTAAAACACAAACGCAAACGCAAAAAAGGCTTCCGTCCACACGCAATAGACAGAGAACCGGGTAGAGTTTTTCGTCAGTCAACGTGTATTGAAGTTGAAATCTTCCGGACAAAATTATAAAAGTGCCGGTCAAAGGTCTTCTTTGTTATTTATTGAGCTTTAAAACAAATGAATAACGACTCTATATAATATAATAATAAAATACACGGAGCCTCTCTTTTTCCTCCCTCTTTTCTTTCAGCGTCAGTGTCTGTCTCAAGCAGCAGCTGATCCAGTAATGAGTGACTCAAAGGTGAGCTCTTGTTTCTACACGGACCACTATTGCGGTAAGCATGTTGTAACTTCCGGTTGTTGTTGTCATCTCCGGGTATCCCGTGTGCCTGTTCTGTTGCTGATAGCTTATTATCTTAACTTAATCGATCGTTTTAAAACTCTTGATNGTCGAACGAGTGGAACGTTCGAGGAGGCGACACTACGTCGCAACTTGCCTCCGTTTTGTGTGTGAAAGGTTCAGTCTAGTAGTGGGAATTCGATAAAATTAATGGAGAGTTTGATGGATTGATCACATATTTATACAAATAAAAATGACAGCCGGCCCCAGTTAGTTAGTTAGTTAGTTACAAATAAATATATCGGGTATAGTGTTGTACAATGAAACAGAGTCACCTGAAGTGTCAAACATGTCCTTATAGTCATACTGTTATGCTGTGGGAGACAGGAATCTGGGAGTGTAGCATGTTCCTTTTTTGAAGGTCACTTTTGGATTCAAAATTTCCCTTTTACCCTCTCTGGAGTCCCTCCTCGTTGGTCTCCTTCCCTAGGGAGAGGTCTGCCTGTCGCACGTTATACACGGCACAACATTAACTTTTCTATTATGTAAACGTTGTATCCATCAGGTTTACAAACCTTTACGTACACAACAATATTTTCTACTTTAGGAACATATAGGTAGGTCCTGAATACAGGGTCCGGTGTCGGTGCCGAGTCTAGATCTGAGCGTTAGGTATCTGTGACAAACATACACAAGGGTACCAAAACCGCATATATCTAATACAAAACACACACTTCACACAATTAGCTTGTACACATACAAATACATAATCTGGTCTCTCTTCCCTTCTCATTCTACCAGGGGCTGTTTGATTGGAATATATGTCGTTTTTTGATCCCCAACTTAGATTAGTCGGATTGATAATTGAAATAGTTTTTCCGTTCCAGAATTCGGTAGTATTTTAAAAATTTTTGCCTATCCACAGACGCGGCAGGCTTGTGTTTGACCTTCGACTAAGGTGTTTTCACCTCGCTAATATTCATTTCCGAGACCGAGGGTAACATGAAATCTCTGAGATCCTTGTTGGTTGTTGGACGTAAGAACCTTGCGTTACGGGATCATCGCTGTTATCCATTTACCGAAATTCCATTCTACCAGAGCGGACGGGTAACTCCCGAAACCATCCGCATCTCTTCTCTTAAAATTTAAGCATAGCGACACAAGATATCCTGGGTCAACAATTCGTACGCATAGTCAAATCCATTACACAGGACAAAGGTATTGAGACCAATCATGTGCTCGACGTCCGTAAACTTAGTCGACTTTACGCTGAACTGACTGAAGAGACCATGTGGGACCTATTATTCCTCAATGGTTATTAGGTCGGACTTCATTGTTTACCGCTACCTGATCAAAGAGACGTAGCAAACCTCCCGTTCTATACGGACTAAAAAACGTACAATGCATCCTAACCTCATCCGCCAGGAACTTAACTAAAATACACCCACAAATTTTCCTATTTAGGACTATGTTAATATTGTGGTTCTAGCGGAATGCAAGTAGTGACCTCCGGTTTAATTACGGTAGGTGATCAATTATAATAAGAACATCTATTAAACAAAGACATCTAAAGAAGCCCGGTCAATGTGATGAAGTCAAAACCAGCAACAAATTGTAGTTTTTTTACATTCCCAGTAGGTGCAAAAATTTCAGGAACCCGTACAGAACTTAAAATAATCTACTAATTAAGTAGTCCGAGAACTAAACTATTATATACAACTCCATAGTAGGCGGTATTGTACTTTCAAATGTCTATACATAAGGAATATTATAACGGAATGCCTTCGTGAATATATCACACTTGTTATTATCCAGGTTGCGTGACTCGGGACACCGTGAGCATCCTATC